GCATTATCAACTCTACTGATTCAAAAATCAAATTAATGATTTCCCAGTGTTTCTTAGTAATGTTTATTCACTCATATTCTCAGAGTAAAATGTAATCTAGCTGTCATAGTTGACACTGTAATTACAATAGTTCTGTAATTGTGCCATATAAGGACACAAAATCAGTGGACAATAGGACAAGGAAGTATATTTCAGAACACCTGATCTTCAGCCTTATCAGTCTTTTTTGATACAGTCTTCATCCAGTCTTTTTCATTGAAGAAACAGAAAGTGAAATCTGGAAGAGTTGTGGCTTTCATTTTAAAATCAATTATAAACATACTTTTCCTTTAAACACTGGAAGGGACTGTTAGCAATGGGCAAAGGATTGTCATCTACATTTTTATGTCGTTAGAGTAGATTTATGCATATGTATTTTTTTAATATTACCTTCTGATTGGTATCATTTTAGTGCAAAGCTAAGGTTGGTGCTAATGTGCACCCCCTCAAACACACAGAAAAACCCCAAATCAACCACATCTAACTCCACAACAACTGACGAGACATTTTTGTTTGTTATATATGGCTCTTATGACCTGAAGATGACACATCTGTGAAGACAGACAGTACCTATATGGAGAGGAAGGCCTGTGTGACTAATGTATGTTAGTAGTGCATCCATACCACTGCTGAGAGGGACAGAGCAGAAAACTTTGAAGGGGTCCTAACTTTATCCTTTTGACTGCATCGTTAGCACCATTCGTGGTGGTGATGCAAGTGTCTTCATTTCTGCTTTTCTCTGTGGAGTTCATACTGTTCCAGTTGGTCTGAATTTTGGCAGCTGTCCCTAGCATGATATAATTATTTCCTTTCATAAGGAAGCTGAGACTGGTGATGGATTCTGTACCTGCCACCTAGTCTGTGTCCATGGCCATCAGAGACATACTGATATTCTTAAAATCTTTACTCTTTTATCCTAGGTGGTCTGTTCAAGGTTTTCTGGGGGATGCCTGAAAATTCTGATTGAATGGGAAGCGTGTGTGAGGACTGTAGTTTAGACTGGAAGCATTCATTATCTTCTGTAAGAATTTTTGAAATAGTGGTTTTACTAACTTTGAGCATAGTGTGAGGCATATGTATTCTTTCTTTTATTTAATGGAAGGAAAAAAATAATTTCAGACTAGATGCTCTTTATTTAATACAGTGTTAGGTCAGTTGGCAACATGGACAAGGACTCTTAACAGGGAAGTTACTCAGTTCGTTTTCAAATGGGTATACATTTTCACCTTGTCTGTCTTTTGATATTCAATTTAAAATGGAATTATTCAAGCTTTTATTTCCATCTGCATTCTAATCTTTCAAACTCTACATTTACCACTGGTAGGTTTTCAGTGTTTCTTGAACCCGTTATTAGCATCTGCTTTGCTGTACTGTTGATGTGATATGTGTTTGTCTCAAAATATTGTGTTCTTTTAATAGAACCAGATCAGTTCAAATGCATTTTATCCTATGATGTTGGGAGTAGCTATAAAATTCAGTTATGGAAGAAAAGTCCTTTCCCTTGGGAATATAGAGGAAAGGTGTACGACACCAGCATGGATTCAAGACCTCAACAGTGTTTGGAGGCTCCTGAGTCTTGCTCTTTTCTGCCAACTACCTCTTTTTAGTCTGTTTGGGTTTTCTGGTATAGTTTCCTGCTTGCTATAGCATCTTTCTAGCTTGAAGTACCATTGTGACAAAACTTCACGTTCTCTTGAAAAATATCTGTCTCCCCCACCTTGGAGTACTCACAAGCTTCTGCTGGAGTACCACAGGTGACCAAACAAACAGGAAGGTTTCTGTTTAGGAATTACTATTATACTAAATTATTTCTCAGGCTCTTGAATGTTGTATTTTGATCACTCAAATGATGTTCAGTTATGAAGACATTGGATAAGAAAATATGTACCTTTCTTTCGTATTTTCTTAAAGATGCCCCATCACCACTATAACAAAAAAATTTATTTTGCAGTAAGTAGGCATTATAAGAAATTCCACTAATTTTGTGTGGTTTGGCTGTGAAGAAGCAGAAGAGCTGAATAACTTAATTAAAAAAAAAAAAAAAAAAAAAAAAAACCCAAAAAACCAAAAAAATCCATCAGGTCCATGAATTTCTACCTCTTGTATCCAAAAATTATTTGAGAGACTTAGCAAGAACTGCTGGTGAAGCACAGTGGGAAAAGCAGAATTCCTCCCTGGAATATGGACTTTTTCTGGTAGTGGAGAAACTACAAGGAAACTGTCAGCTTGCTTCTGTGCTCTACCTAACCTTCTGTATAAATGTTGCCAACATTGGACCTCCCAGCATGCAGATGGCTCATTCAAAAAAGTTTTCTTCCCTCTTCAAGTTCTTGCTGATGAAGTGGGCTTTATAACAGTGCTTCGAACTACCAGTTCTCTACCACTGAACCAAGTCTTTGCTTCTGGTTTCTTAAGCTAGCAGCACCAATGTATTTGGGAACTAAGAAAAATCATCTTAAATAAATAAAAGGGGAGGGGGGGGGGAGAGGGCATAAAAACTCTGGACCCTAGCAGCATGGTAAGAAGGAGCAGGAAACCTGCAACTGTATTTTAGCAGGTGCTTATTTGAAATACCTCCTTTTTTTTGTATAAGATTTGTTTAAAACAGTTAAGCTTTGTACATGTTATTACATTACACTTAAATGCCTTATCAAGTAACTAAGAGTGAACAGTTTTACTGTCTGCAATTTGCCCTGTTTAATCAAAAATAAATAAAAACAAACAGTTTATTGAAGTGAAATGTGTAGTTCCCACTTCAGCTAGTATCCAGCACTATAAACCCAATTCAGGTTTTTTCAGAGATTTCACAGCAGAGTTGGCTGTTACAAGCGGTGTTCAGGAGGAGAAAATGTTTATTTTTATGACAGACTGCATATTACATGCAAAGTTTTCAAATAAAACAGTCCGATTTAGGTCAGATACAATTAAATATGCTATCAAAATTTAAAAGAAACAGACATTGCTTGTTGCTTATAAATGTGCAGAGTTTATATCAGAACTGTTTTGGTCTGCGTGCTTATCCTAGGCAAAAAGGAACAGCATGTCTTTTGGGAATCACCTTTTAGTCTCGAGTATTTGAATTCAAATTTAGGATGCAACTGTGCCCTGTGCCAGTATGGTGTGGGGGAAAGTGCAAGTTGTGGGACTTTGGTAGATGCACTAAGAGCGTTGTAAGGCTCTTACGCTTTGGATGTTCCTCAAAATAAAAGCATACTTGGCTAGTTGGAGTTAATGCTTCATTGATTTGCTTTACCATGCACCCTACAGAGATGAGTATGTTTGCCTAAAGAGAAGGAGCAGATGTAGCAATTTAAAGGTCCCAAAGTCCTGCTTTTTAACTTAACTTGCATTTTCCTGCTTCTGCAGACACAAATGGATGAAGTCTCTTCTCTCAGTCCTGTATGACAGCTTCTTCAGCAGTGGATTTGTCATTGTCCCTCGTTGGCACTCATTTCCTCAGATATTTCCTAGCTGCTGTAGGACTTTACTAGCTAATAAAATTAAAAGGCCTGGAAACTTAACTAATGGCATTGTCAGGGCAAGTATATTGATAGGATAATCCTCAATGCAAACATATTCTGAGTTACTGGGGAGATAACCCATCGTCTTCAGCTACTCTGCCTTACCTGGTCAGTGAGCCTCTGGCAGGCGGCTGAGAGGTCACTGCAGTCTCTGTAAGAGCTCTGTATTTCTGGGTAAGATGAAGAATGATCTGAGCAGGGCCAGGAAGTTAAGGACAGAGATAGATCTTCTCATCCCTTTCAGGTTTGTATTTGTAAAGAAATATTTAGTAGTAATGTTAATTAATGCGATTAATATTAGGTATTAATCTGGCCTGAGAATTTCCAGAGGGGGTGTTTATAGATACAGGAAGATGTAATTTGTTCTTCACTGTGCAAACAGTAAGAAAATATGTTTTTTTGGAGGGTGTGGTGTGCATTCTCCTTGTTATGATTAAGAGACCAATAAGTTGCTCGCCTGGCAGCTTAATGAGACAAATCTTTTGCATGTATTTTATATCATGGGCCATAGATACTGACACTAGTAAGGTACTGAATTACTGGGGTTTTTTTGGGTCTAGTGTTTGTGGTCCAAAAATGACTACCCTGCTCATACTGATAGAACTTTGTACTTACAGTCATTTCTGGTCAGAAGTGCCATGTCTGGAACTCTTACCTTCCAAGATCAGATATGTTCAGTTTAAGGTGGTAGAAGCAGGCAGGGCTTGAATGCCATAGCATTACAGAAAGTAAAAATAGAGGTAGCTGAACACCTAGCCACAGTATCTGTGTTTATTATATAAGCTGTAATAACAGGTGTAGTTTTGACACTCCTTAAGGGAAGAATGAGTCACAGAGGCATTGTTTGGTTTGAGGGACAAACAAGTGAATACTGATCTGCATTCATTAATTTGCCCTATTTCTGAAATGACATACACAGACATCTGGAATAGAACAATAAAATTGGTTTGTGCTGATACAGTGATACAAGACATGGCTTTCTAAACTGGCAGGTGGACAGTGGTCAGATGTTCCTGGTACGTTTCATAAGCAGAGGTTTCTTCTGAGGAAGTAATTATGTTTCTATCAATAGGAGAATGAACACTTTGCTTTTCTAATGTCAGAACTATTGGAACTACGTTCATCACTCCTCAGTGTCAGGGCTTCCATTAAGCTAGTGGTACTACTCAGATTTAAGTTACACCCCAGGGCACCAGCCAAGGCAGTGGATCCTTACTCTACACGTCATTCTTCTATTTGCATCATATAAAGCCTAGAATGAAACAGCTGTTTTCGCTCCAGTGAAGTTCTGTTAGTGTTTGAATACAGTGGTGATGAAAAAGACGGGCTTTCTGTGCAGGAAAAAGTGAACATCGTGGGCTGTCATTGCAGTCAATAGATTTTGTTTTTATTTTTTTTAATAGTAGAAGTGTTACATTTCCATTAAAAATTTAATTTTAGGGTAAGATGGTGAAAGGAATGGGGGGTGCCATGGACCTGGTATCCAGTGCACAGACCAAAGTGGTTGTCACCATGGAGCACTCGGCCAAGGTAAGGCTCTGCCTGTTCCTTCTAAATAAGTGGTTTGTGCTGTAGCAAAATAAAGAAGAAGAAATAAAAAGAAAAGACGTCTTACATTCATTCATGCTGCTTTGTGAGGATTTGACAGTTTTGCTGTTAGTTATTATGGAGGTGTTACAGGCGGCTAGGTTAATATGATTCCTTTCCTCTTGTAAATGAATCATTCACTATGGAAGACAATGAAAGATTAACTTGATGTTTAAAAGCTGCACACATTTTTTTTTAGTTAATTCATGCAAATTTAATGAGAGTGACTATTGTCAGAGCTATGGTAGACGCTACCCCAGAGGCTTTACTCTTTACTTCAGAATAATTTGAAAAATGAGATTCCCCATGGTTAAATACTTGTTATGAGGGGAAGATAGTTACCTTTGAAGTTGTCACTCATGTTGGTACAGACAGCTGAATAGAACAGATCTTTTGGCATGTTGAGATGCAGACTGCCTTACGTCATTTTGTGACAGAGGTTAGTCTAGAGACTTCTTTGTGGGAGGAGTTTTATAGATATAAACAGTCTCCCACAGAAGGTCATAGGAAACTTGTCATCTGAAACTTCTAAAACAGGACTGTTCAAACTATGAGAAAAATGAGGTGAAGGACAAAAATATCTGTTTTCAGGGAATTACATCAAATGTTTAAAAATGAATTTTTTGTTTAGTTTCTGTGTTTCTGTTGTTCCAAATTTGTTATGTGTCTGCAATAAGAATTAGTTGTGTGTTGTTCAAGACAATATCCCTCTCAGAATGCATAAGTGAAAGCATAAGGAATTTGCATGGTAAACTACAGTAAATATGTAAATAAGAGTGTTAACTTTAGTAACAGTTGTATGTTTTTAAAATGTGATTTGAAGAATGGATTTTCACTTTAAAAAAAATGTTGAAAAATGTAGTAGTTTCACAATTTATACTAAGCTGTTATCTCAAGGGGCACATTTTCTGTAACAGGTCTGAGTATGACCCAATAGTTTTCATGTGCATCTGTGTGAATAAGTAAACAAAAGTACAAAGCAAATTAATCTATATGACTCACATCCCTATCACAGCTTCCCAAAAACTGGATATGTAATTATCCATTTGCTCAGACACATATATCAGGTATTAATGTGATCTCAATAAATATTTATGCTAAATTTCTAGTTACTGTGGAATTTGGTTAAGGCTCAGAGTCCACACACAGTGTAATTATTCATGCCAGTTTTTGTCTTAAAAGTACTACTACCAAAATCTTTTTTCGGTACAGTGTTTGGAAGTTGTTTGCATAAGGTTTTTTTTTGTCAGTAGGAGTACAGAAACCCAAAAAAGATGGAAACACAGGTGGGTTCACTGTTACAAACAGACCAGACTTAGATTTATTTATTTTGGGCGCTTATGTACATGGGTGCCTGGTGTGCACTTCTAGAGAGCCAGTTATAGGCTTTCGTAATTTATTTCTACTTTTGTGGGAAGGCACTGCAAAACTAAACGGTGTGCATGATTTTTTATTTTATTTTTACTTTAAAATGAAGGGTATTCTTACCACTGTTTGCTCTTACCTAGCCTGTTTTTGAGGTCTTCATACTGTTGCTTCTTGTTTGCTCAAAAGTGAAGATGATAAAACATAGAAATATGGAAATATATGGGATATATGCAGTGTCTTCAATGGAGGTGTTCAGTAGTTGCTGCAATAGGTGGTTCTTGTAGTCAGCTTTGTCTGATTAGTAATCTTATGAAAGATCTGCTAATCCTTTTCAAGTTTTTTTGTAATGGCTTTTTAAAATTTAAAATAAGTTTTCTAAGAGGTTAAAAGTTCATTCTCCTTTCAGTACACGTGTTGCAATTTTTAAACATAGCAATAGCCTGAGTCCTTGCAGTGCAGGCAAAAATTAATTTACACTTAATTATGAGGGTGAAACTAGTATCTGTCTTAACACTCAAATACTCAAATGATTTTCCTCTTTTTAAACTCTGATATGCAGTATATTACAAATAAAACTAAATATGCTCTGCCCCAAATTATTTACATTTTTAACTACTTAAAGTTTCACATGTGATGAAAACCAAAAGGTACAGAAGAAAGATGACAGAACATGAACTGAGTTTTGCAGAAGACTCTTCAGCTTAAGAAATGCTATTGAGGAAGGGTAACATAGAAATCCAGAAAATAGTAACGCATGAACAAAATGGATGCAGAATGGCTAGTCACTGCCTTATAAGAGAGGTAGGGGTAGCCAACTGAAATTAACAACAAGTATGTTTAAAACAACAAGAAACATTTTTCACAGACAGCTAATGAAGTTGTGGAGGATTGGCAGGATGACGCAGGAACTCAAAATTAAGTCTTTATGAAAGGGACTAAACTGTTTAATAAGGTTAAGTTAATCAGTGAGAATTAAATAGCATTGCCCAGAAGCAGTCTCTAGCCCAGGAAATCTGTACATCACAGCATGTCAGGAACCAGGAGGGCATATCTGTGGAAGGGTGGCTCATTTTTTGCTCCATATGCTTAGAACACTGTGAGACACTTGACAAATGGACCTTAAGTATACTTTGTTATGGTATTTCTTTGTGTATTTTTTTGCTAAATTACTTTTTTGTTTGTATCTATGAAGAAAAATAATAGAATGTAAGATTGTTATTTAATCTCTAAACAGTCACTGTGCAGGTATGCCTAATCCGCTAAATACTGCAGAACAGAAATAAAAGTTAAGTTCTTACCCCCATACCATCATTGACATGTTTTGCAATACATAGTAAAGTAATGGCTGGTAATTGCTCCATGTTGTGAAATGAGTTGTCTACGTGATTCAGAAAAAAGAATGGAACTTAGTTTTAAGCACTTGATTTGGATGTGACTGTAACATGGAGCACTGAATTGAAAACTCCTTTCTGTCATTGTGAATAGTGTTGATTTTAATGTGTTGTGGAAGATTAAAGGAATTTTTGTTCTTCAGCCACAGAATTTTTTACTCAAAGCAGGCTGAAACACCTTAAGGTTTTATGTGTCTACACAATAGTATTTTCATTTGTCTGAACAATTTCCTTGTGAATTCCGACAGTAAAAATTCATGCAGTTCTGTATGGATTCCTATTCTGGTAGTGCCCTGATGAATAACTTCCAAAAGTTGCCTTTAGTGCTAACTGGTAATACAATAATCTTCAGCTCAAGTGTTAAGAAGCTGGAATGTGTCAGTTCTCAGGGTCACAGGAGCCATTCAAGCTGACACCTCTGCAAGTCCATGCATTTCAATCTCAACTGAGTACCAAGAAGAGACACTTCGTTTCATATGGCTGAGAAGTATATGTGATATGTTACTGAAGATATTACAAACAGCACAGATTAATCTTGGCTCTTAAGGCAAAGTCTGCAGGAAGGTCCTTGAGTTGGACAATATAAAAGTCGATCAATTGAAAGTAACACTGTCACAAGTCATTATTTTCATTAAGAGTGAGTGAATTTCATTGTGGCAGTTGCCTTGGTACCAGATATGGATCTTGCCAGTATAAGCAGAATTAAAGTGAAGAAATAGTTCTTCACAGAAAAAGACAAATTCAAATGCACATGGATTGCTCATTTTATTATCACTCAGGAGTCAAACTGGCTGAGAGATGGTGCCTGAGTATATATTAAGCTTTAAGGCAAACTGATGATTGTAAATTTTAAAAAGTATTGCTTTCAGATGGTTAAATGAGACATGCAATACTCCAAGAGTTTTGAAATGCATAACTGAAAATTGATAATTAGAGAAAAAATAAAAGCCTGTGGTAATAGGAGAAATGTGCACTTACGCTACCTCTGTAAAACAGCTACAAATACTGACTAAAAATGTAGTGATCCACCTTTTTTTATATCCATTCAGAGCTCTTGCAGCCTACGTTCATTTAGCAGGATCTAAAGCCATTTGTGAACTCCTATTAAAAAAAATTGAAGAAAAAGAAAGGAGGAAAGAAAAAAGAGAAGGAAAACCCCCAAAAAAACTCACCACTGAAAATTTACCTGCCCAGCTTCATGTCAGAAGCTATGTCTTCTCACTGGGTAATATTTTTGCCAGGATTTAGAGCAGTTGGCGTTTGATGCCCCAGGAAAGGAAGTGCCTTAAAGTAAATACTATTTTCTCTATATACATTATTTTCTACTATATATACATGCTAGTTTGTTCTGATATAACAGAGATAATGTAAGTTCTGTGTAGCAGTTGAAGATGAGCATATTGCATTCATCTCATAGTCTCCTTTTGGGCTTTCCCGGAGAGATTTGGAGGGAATGGGAATTCAATGTGGGTAAAGAAACTGGATTTACTATTTTCAGTACTTGAGCCCTGGGGTTTTGAAATGCCTGTGTGTATGGCTGCTTCTGCACGTGCTGTTTATGATAAAATATAAGACAGAGAAATGTCATGCCCACAAGGTCGTTCCCTAATTTTTGTTCTTTGTGTATCATCAGTGAGTTCCCCTCTAAGTATCTCTTATCCTCACATTGCAGCAGGAAAGACAAATTATTAAGCAGAAGTATTCAGAACTTCCAAACTCAGCAGCCCACTCAGTGGTACAGTGAGATTCTTATTAGTCATCTGCCTACATGTGGGATTTAAGTAATAACTGTCCCAAATTGCCAGAGAAGTAATCTGCCATTGAAGTGAATTCAAAGAGTGTTCTGAGTACAGTGAATGTTTCACTGCCACTGAATGGCTGCAGCTGTGATTTTCATGCACATATTTGATTTCTGAGTAAGTTGTGTTGTGTTTGAAAATTAATGTTTGTCAATATATTGTTAAACACAGGGCAATGTCCATAAAATTTTGGAGAAGTGCAATTTACCACTTACTGGGAAACAGTGTGTAAACCGCATCATTACAGAGAAGGTAAAGTACTTTTCTTGAATCCTTGTCTGTACTTTTCCTCCCCTATCTAAGGTTCACTCAGTAAAAGTAGTAAAACTTTGTAAAAATGAAGAATATATTCGGTATCTGTTGCCAATGAAGGGCAAAGATTCCCTTGGAGTTCAATTTCAGAGGTCTGGGAGCTCATGTTTTTCCTTTTAAAGCTTTCACCATTGACATCTAGCGTACTGGACCATACTCTGAGACACCTTCAGAACAAAGGTGCCACACATGAGAAGTATGCAAAGTGTGTATCTTCTTATTTTTACCAAAGAATTCCTGAAAATTTACTGTGAAAATTTACTGTGTGAGATGCAAATCCTCAAATACAGCTGTAATCACAGCTGTGGGGTTTTTTTCCAGCAGAGCAACAACCGTGTAGCATATATGTGTCAGACAATTGGCATCTTCCTTGCCTTCTTTCAGAGAAATACAGCCAGTAACTGTAGCGGGGCTTTAATTCTTTGTCCTCGCTTGATTCCATTTGTGAACAATTTACTCTCCAGTGCAAGTGCATGTGAGCATCAGATATTGCTGCTGTTCAAAGTACAGTAGTGGGTCTTATCAGCAAAGGATAGGAGACTTAAGGTTTTTGCTGTAATCACACTACTTTTATTATCAGTGTTTACATGTTTAAGGACTTAGAGTAGTCCCTCTGTGAGCCATGTATTGTACGTAGTAGAATGCATCAAAAGTGCTGATGTAGAATTTGCTTTTCCGAGGTGGTGTATTGCTACAGTAATTTAAAGGGTTTTTTTCCTCCGCCAAGTAAGGGAAAAAAGATGAAAATATGGAAGTTTTTGTGAGTCTTCTACTAACTGGCCACAGACAAATGTACAGCAGTACTTAGTGTATCAAATTCTGTTTCCAAACTGGCTTCTTGGTGTTTATGTTCCTTATGACCAGCTTCTCTTCTAAGACTGAGAAGAGCTATTGCATTTCAGTCCCATAAATTGGTCTTATGTGCCCAGAGGACAGCTGAGCTTTAGTACACTTCTGTGAGGAGCTTAGGACTTCACTTTCATTTCAGGTTCAATCTCCACCAGCCTATTGCTACTGACTTTTTTTTTCTTTTCTAAGGAAAGTGACTATAGACCTTATGGTTTCCCTGGCAACTAGCTTGCAACCGGTGTATCTCCCTGTGGTAGGCACTATTAAAGTGCACATCATTTTACAGGTGTTTTTATTTGATGCATTTGTGACCCTTAGAAGTGGAAAGCATATCTTATGAAGACATAAGAAAGAACAGCCTTTGTTCTTTCAGCCACTTCCTCCCAGGCTTTCTATTAAAAATACTACAAAAAATCTTGTCTCTCATTGCTAGCTTCTGAAAATACTAAAATTTGCACAGGGTGTGCAATAGCTTTTGGAGAAGCTTATAATCTGGCAAAGCCGATCAATGACTTTGTACCTCTCTACTGGCCTTAAAACGAAATAGAAGAATGAGAGACACATTGTTTTCCTTCATGATTTCTTGGTGAGCATTGTCTTGCAGCAAAGAATATCTCAGCCCTTTTCTTTGGACCTTCCAATTCTCACCAGATTGGAGCAGGAGGTGACATGGTCCTTCTTTCATGCAGTGAAGAACAGTTGCACGTTTTTCCCATAAAACTAACACATCTCATATTTTAGATTCTTTCAGATACAAATAAATGTAGCAGAAATCTTTACTGGTCAGTCAGAAAAGTGAAAAGTGAAACCAATTGATAATGGCATCTTTTGTTACTGAAGGAATGCTACCTACTTCAGCACACCATTTTGTACAACATTGCTACTTACATCCTCATTTTCTACTTTGATAATAAAAAAATAATTGTGTGCTATTTGAACCTCACAGGCTGTGTTTGATGTGGACAAGAAGAAGGGATTGACCCTTGTGGAAATCTGGGAAGGACTGTCAGTGGATGATATCAAGAAAAGTACTGGCTGTGACTTCACAGTAAGTCATTTTACAAACAAATATAGTTAGTCCAGTGTCAGAACAAGATGTTGTCCGCAAATACTCATCACATGAAGACTTGCAGACAGAGTAAGTTTCCTCCTTATAGGTGAAGGCTGGGTAGATTACCTGTGGGGTTTACAGTGCAAATAAGAGGATAATTTAGGGCTAATCTAGTATTGGAAGCATTAGAACCTAGGAAAAACAGAAGAGCTAGAGAAATGACTGAGTAAAGGGACAATGTTTAAAGGAATTTTTATGGTGCTTTGAAGAGAGGAGCTAATTCATATCTGAGAGGTGGATGAATATTTATTTTTCCACTGTATAAGTTAGTTTACCTAACTCTGTTTCTATGTTTTCATACCATCTTTAAGTGAGGTTGTGATTCTTCTCAACAGGGGTGACTACACATGTCCACTCTGTTACTAATGCCAACCAATTAAATGCTCTACTGTTAATACTTTGCTTTTTCTCTCCCATTGCCTTGTATGAATGAAACTTATGCTCTGCATTAATCCAGAAAGCCACTGCCTTTTGACCTTCACATTCATTCTTAAGTATCACTTAATACTAACACAAAACTGGTTTACTAATGAAAAGCTGTACCACACTAGATTGTAATTGATTGCATATGTGTGGTTAATAACATATAGTTTCTTCATGGACTTCTCCTACATGCACATAATGAGATTTTTTTCTTCTTTGTTGTGAAGTCTTTTGGGGCATGTCAGCCCTCCTGTGGTGAGGACTGTGAGTATGACAGTATACAAACTGTGCTGTAAAAATAGTTGGGGAATACTTGGTAATGAAGTGCCATACTCTGCAGAGTTTCATGGTAGGGGTATAGACCATAACTGAAAGACTGTAGAACAGTTAGTGTGTGAAAGAGTTTGTTATTAAGGCTTTGAGCATACTGTTGGCAGTAAGTAAAACTTTCTGAGCAGTAAGTCTGTGCAATTTTATTAATTTCCTGGGTCCATAAGAGAGCATTTCTGATTACTACATATGATAGTGTATGTTTTTCTTGTGGAGCTTTAAATATTCAAATAAAGAGCTGTTCATTTCTGAAAATACATTCGTTTGTCTGAGAAAAATTGTTCAGTTAAAGATGAGTGAGCTGCAACTGCAGAGTGCAGAAAACTGCTGCAAAATTGCTTTGCTCCATTATTTATTTTCCATGTAACATTTTATAGAAGCCATTATTATTTTTTAATGTACAGAGGAAGCAACCTTCCACGTTCAGCAATTCTGTGTGGAAAAGATATTATTCATTTGGCTTCTAACTAATTTAGGAAAAAAATGGTCAATTTTCTAAAACGTCCGTGATGTCAAGTCTTTTTCTTTGGCTGATCAGCCTGTCAAACAGCTAGCATCCAAAATGAAAACATAAAAATGACCTTGTAGGTTTGTATGTATTGCAGTCAATCACTTTGTTTTGTTCTTGCATATTTAATTTGGGGATTAACTTCATATTGAATTTGAAAGTGCCATGTTTAGTAAGCATTTCAATAGACTGAAACTACAGGAAAGGGCTTTTGTTGTCAGCAGACACCAGTCCTTATGTGTTCCAAACCTGCTTGTTTGGAAGGAATTGGTTTCTTTTTGTCTCAGGTGACCAACATATATGTATTTAATTAAGCATGTGTTACCGAACGTAAAGTCAAGCAGCCTATGCTCGAGGCAATGAAAGCAGAAGCAACCGAAGAATTCAGAGAAAGAACTGATAAGTTTAGAACTATGGGCTCTGAGATTAAGCTTGGCATCAGCACAATGGGTATGATAGGGCAAGACTGTTTGGACCAAAGAAAAGATTAGCACCACCCACTGTCCCTTAGTACTTTCCTGTAAATGTTGTAAAGGAATGGTATAAATTCTGAATCTTTAGGATACTCTGAAGTTAGTAATTGATGAGAGGTATTACAGCGATCCACCGTCTAGGCCCCCGGGGTCTGCCTCACTCGGGTCAGGAAGGGACATCACAGGCACCATTTCCTAGTTCTCCTGAAGGCAGATTCCAGTCCAGTCTACTTTGTATGGCTGCTGTGGTCATGCATGAAATCACAAGCTGCACTAAAGGAGCTGTGGGCATGAAAAATGTAGATGCTGCTTGGTTTATGCACTTTCATATACTTATCTTGAAAGCATGCGGCTTGCATAAATGCTTGCAAAGCGTGTACCTCTGCCAAGGTATGCATGGGGGTCAGCATTACCTACTGATTGGTAGTTTGAAAAGTGCCGGAAATCTCTATAGTGCTGCAGATGGAAAGGATGAACCACAATGACTTGTTTGTTAAAGCTGTGGCATGGAAGAGCACTAGCTTTTCCTGTCCCTCTCTTTTTTTTTTCTGTTTTTTTTTTCTCCCCCCTCCTTTTTCCCTCATCTAAAGAATGTTTCCAGGTCACAGTGACCCAGTCCTCCTCCTCTCATTGAAATCCTTACCAAAATGTCTATTGACATGTGTTGCATAATATTGGACCCTTGATGTGTGTTTTCATATACAGTGAACACCTACAGCTCCTTCACTTAGTTTTGGAGTTCAGAAAATAGAGATTTGAGCATCACAATAGGCATTTGTTCAGAAAGCAGCACCCTTGGTCCATTTTTCCACATTTCAAGACTCTGCCTCAGGCTTCCTTGCAAGAGTAACAATTGTGCTTGTGATTATTTATGTTCACTGAATGAGACATCTTGGTTTTGTTTATATTGGTGACAGGAACTTTAGTGATACTGTATTGCTACTGATTGAAACAGAACTAATGTGTGGAAAATGATGAGTTGACCCTTTTCTAGCAGTTTTTTCAGTGAGTGCAGTGAATGATCTAAACTAAAATAAACAGCTCTCTAGGTTCGTTACAAGTGAGATTTTAAGGGATTGCTGTACCTTTGTATATAAGGATCTCTCTCCATGCAGACTACTCCTTTTTGGAGAGAAGAACTTTATAGCCTATGTGGCTTTTTTTGAGACTCATTTGGCTGTACAGTCCCATTTTCACAGCCTGCTTACTTATTTGGAAAAAACATCTCCGAAAGAACCTTTGCAACAACAAAATGTTAAAGAAAAGGTGATTTAGCATCAGCAATGTTCGTTTTGGGCTGGCATCGTATCAAAAATAAACAATTCACTCTTGATGTTACTGTGCTGTGAAGACAAAGTGTTGCCTTGTCTTGCATGCTTAAATCAGATTTACTGTAGCCTAGCATATAGATCACCTTGGCAGGTAATCTGTTTGGGCTTGTACTGGCTTATACCACTGATGAGACCATGAGAGAACAGACTGAGAACCATACTTTTGGAGATGTATTTCATTATAAAGATAATCAGGATAAGACTGTCTGAGTGAAAATTCCCCATTCTCCCTCTTTTTTTTTTTTTTTTCTTAATGTAAAAGCTCAGTTTTACAAAATGAACTTAAAAGATAACATGGCATTTCGGAAGTACATCGGCCAAGGAGACATTAGGTAGTTGAATAGCGATTGACTGGTGTATGTTTAAAAAGAAATTGATTGTCCGAGTTCAAGCCAGTGAGTACAAAATAATAAGAGGATATGGTTTTATTATCTGGAAATAGATTTTCCTTTGAGGAAACAGGCGGTTGCAGGACTGAAGTAAATTTTTAAGTGGATGTTGTGGTTTTTCCTGATCAATTACCTCCACTGCAAAAGTCACATTAGGAACAGATTTTTGAACAACAGCTGGTACTGGAATTGGGGTTTGCTTTTATCTGCAATTTCAAAAAATTAGGAATTAATAGGGGACAAGCAACTTTTATTATTTTAACAAATATACTAACACTGATCATCTTTTTTTTTTTGAGGGGCTATTTTTACATTTTTGGACAATATCTTGCTTTTGCACACCTGATGAGTCCTCATAACTTCTAATGACCTTAACATCATTCAGAATCAGACCTTGAAAGAGCTGCCTGCTGTAAAGAAACATAATGAAATAAGCATAGGGCTGTTTGTGTAGCTGAAAAGGGTAGTTTGGTGTTGGAAATCAGAGTCAACAAGCTTGAACTGCAGGGAGTCCCTGAGGCTGTGTCCTCCTACCAGTTCAGAGGCTGCATACAGGACTTCCCAGGTCAGCTCCTCCCAGTACACCTAGCTGTTCAACGTTAGCAAAGTATTTTGAAGATTCCAAGAGAAGCTGCTCTTGTAAGAGAAGTAACATTAAGAATGTGTTGCTTAGGAGTTACTATAGGAAAGTAGGAACTGTGCGGCGGTGTACTGTATAATAGTCTTCATTAAGCACATTTAGCCCTTACCAAATGCTCTGCTCTGAGCACAGGGTCTTACCAAATGGGCTGACTCTACTGGGAGTTAAAGCAGTGGACTCGGGGGGGGCTTTCTGCATTTCAGATTTGATTGCTCCTTGTTTTCCAAGCACAAACCACCCCTTTTGTTACGTTAGCATTTTTCTGCTTATTTAATCACATTTTATTTAGAACGAACAGTTGTATTTGGGTCCAGACCTGAGTGGTGCTGGGCCCTCACCACCTCTGTTACATTCGGCAGGCATTGTGGCACTTCAGCACTCATGGGGCATCAGACCCTTTCTGGAGCAGATAGTAGCACACACAAATGACAGCTGTTAGCATCTGGTGTGCAGACATTACATTTAATGTAGTATGCTCATTCAAGTGTAAAGCACTAGAGGTTTTGATGGGGACAGAATCTATGACAGCAGAAAACCAATAATCTGCTCCAGTAACTGCCTTTTTTCATTAGTTGCAGAATCCAGATTTTAATGGTGCTATCTTCATCCTCCGGTTTTTGCCTTTACTTCAGTGGAACCATCCCTTGGTGAGGCAGGAAGAGGCCCAAATTAAGTGAGGCATACAGGCACTTGGAATCAGCAATGTTGAAACATTTCTGGAACTCGTCCAGGAATGCTGGTGCACTCAGGGAGTTTCTCCAGCTCCTCTGTGCTTGCACGTATTACATCTATTTATTATCCTATTTCACGCACAACTTTGAAAAATCAATGAACGGTTTCCATCCACTGAAAATGTTTTATTAGCATTTGATATAGTAAACACATTCTTCATGAACTAAGCTTTCCTTGGTGGCTACTCTCATAAGGTTGTAAATGATGATATATAGTGGCTGGAGCAAGGATAACATAGAAATCTAACTGGCACAGGAAATACAGCCCTTTACCTCTAAAAGAAAGAGGCTTTAATTGCTGGAAAGGGCCTCAGGTGTCATTCTTTCATGAGTTAGCTTGTTCGGTACTGTTAGGTGAAAAAGATGGGATAAGGATGCATAAGGAATGCACCATGTGATGTTTCAGTGGGACACATTAATCAACTAGGAGACAGATTATGTGTGGAACTCTTTTTAATCCTGAACAAGTAAGATCACATGAGTTACTTTTGATCTTCGTTCTGGGGCACCTGTTTGAGTAGGACTCCAACAGGAGATGTTTAGAAACTTGGGTATTCTGTGGAGAGCTTTTCCTCAGGATATTTGTGTAGAGCTGCAGTCAGGGTTCAGCCAAATGTTAACCATTGCTGCTCTTCAAAGTCTTCTCTGTATCGTTCCCATTTACACCTTCTTTCCTAATTTGGTTTCCTATTTAGGCTTGCTGTGTTTTATTTTTGATCTGCTGGATATCTTCTAATGTCACTAATGGATTTTTATGAGTATATGAAATTAAAGCAGTAGAATACAGAAGTGTGTCCTCACACAAAAATGAATGTGAATGGAAAAAGGAAAGTTAAAAAAAAGGTAAAATTAGAAGCATTGAATTACGTCATCATCAAACAAGTAATCAAATCAACTGTATACATAGTATATAGTATCTACTCCTTTGTTGCCTCTGCATCATTCAGTGTATTGATGCGTGAATGCAAGTGAATTAGAAGGCGATGGCTGAAGCCATTGACCGTCTGTAGCTATCTCCCTGTTGCTGTTCATGGCAAGTGCAGCCCCGTGTACACAAACTCTGACCATTTATGGGCCAGTGCATTAGCTGACCCACAGACTATTTTTGGGTTACATTCATGCGCCATGCTGTATCCTGTATAACTGAGGAGCTGCTTCACCTGAGTTCAGCTATCCCTTCTGCTGGCACTGGAGGCCATCCGAGAAGACCATGCCATTAGCAGGGTCACGTGCAGGTTCAGCTGTCCAAATTTAATCTGCTTGCATTCTTAAATCAATAACCCAACTCAGAATAACTGAAGTTCAGAGGCTGGATACTAGCACCATGTGTATTGTGTATACCACATCAGAAAATTTAGTTGTGGGAGTGTTTATCTCTGAAATACTATAAATGTATCAGTTTAGGTATACAGTGTCTCAGGTCTTCAGTGGCATGTGGGTGGTAGAGGTGGAAGCAAACAGCGTGTTGTACTGCTATATCTATATACCAACTGAAGTGTTTTTTTCCCTTCTTTTTGCTAGGTTTCGCCAAAACTGATACCAATGAGGCAGATTTAAATGTGAAATACAGACTGGGCTTAACTTGCCAGAAGGCTTGTTTCCAAATGGGAGCTCAGTGAAGAGAAATCGATGACTGTTTTGCAATTTTACTACTTTTTTTTTTTTTTAAGGGCTTTGTGAGTAGTTCCCAGGTAGTTAAACTCAGGCTGTGACTATCAGCCTAAATTATGTTTTACTTTCATAACATTACCAATTCTAATGCAAGGGTGAATTTATTGCCTAAATTTTGAATAACGTTATACTAAAAAGTTAATGAACATTGTCAAAAAAATGCCTTGTAGTCTGTCTGCCAAATACTTCATTTTTTACACAGATTCAGAAAATGACCATGCAAAACTTATGAATGCCTCTGCTCTTCCTGATGTCGCTAAACTTATAAGTCACTCTGTTGCTCTGGAACTACAGCACTGACCACGTCCATTCTCCTGTAAAGGTGTGGAGTTTTTTTTCCTGGAATGATCTACAGCAAATATGCACAGCTGTAGAGAAACATTGGGGATATGGACTTCCCTTTTCCTGAACCTTTCAATGAGTCTGTGACAAAACTGTTTATACAGGTGGAAATAACTGGGTACTTAGCTGTGAATGTATCTGCTTCTTTCCACGGTGTTTGTCCGTTGGCATTAAGAAGCCTCCACCTCCCAAAGTCCAACTCTGGCCCCTTCTGTTTAAATCATACAAACTAGAGTAGGGCTAGTATGAAGGAGGAAGATTGAAAAGTGTCCATCCCCATGCAGACAACTGGTAGCTGCACAATTGTTCCATGTGAACAGCTCTCACTCTCCAGATGTAATTCTTCTCCCCCGCCCCCATTCAAAGGCAAATGAAGATTGTTTCTGGAGAGAGGTCTGTCCTTCCAGAGTTACACAGAGAAACAGGGGAAGAGAATGTTGTGGGTACTTGGAAGATTCTTCTGAAGGGAATACAGTTGGTTAAGAGTAAAAGCAATAAGTTTGCACCACTTGCCAATCAAGGCATCAGCAAAACCTAAAGAGTTTGTAACCCAAACTCATGATAACTAGAATGAACGCCATGAGACAATCAAAATTCAAAATGACAAAAAGCCATTCGCTCATACTAGTTCTGCTATTTGTTAAAGATCTTACTTTCCCTGTTATTAGTTACAAAATGACCTTTATTTTTGCAAATAGGTAATATGACAGCACCGGATCTCACATCCCAAATCAGTGCAATATGTCTTTATTACATAGAGCATGAATTGACTGGAAATCCACATTTACTAAAATACAGTGTTCTCTCCAAGTATAATGGTTTCTGTCATTTATATAAATAGGAACACAGAAAAAGTTTGTTAATAAAATGTTTAAAATATATTTAAAAAAGAAAGTTAAAATATTTCCTGACATAATGTTTGACATCAGGACTGGAGCAGATTCAGTGACTGAAAAACATGTAAAATGTAGATGCACAAATAAATACATAAATATGCCTATCATATATGCACTAAGCAGTGTTGGAATATAGTACAGAACAGCATTCTAGTACTATATGGATGAGGTATTGACCAAAGTCAGTGTGTGCTGTGGAAGGAATGTAAAAGATTTCTAAGGAACCAGACATGAAATTCCTGCAATATGTATCTCCTGTACTAGCCTTGTATTGCATTTTTCCATTCTAAAATACAAAATGCTTCTCTTTCATGGGACAGTTTTAAATTTTGTCTTGATCCATGTATGGGTTTTATAGCAGTAAAACTGTTTTCATTAGAGAGATTATTTTGTTTTGTTGCACTTACTCTAAACAATTCTTTGATAATCTCCTGTCAATATCACAGAATCATAGAATCATGATTCTATGATAACCAAATAGGTTATCATTCTTCCCACAAAGCAATAAACAGAATTCCTTTGTACGCACCTTTATGCTAGCACAAAAGTACTCCTGTAATACTAAGTTGTATGACTTGAACTCATGGGTGCTAAGGGCTGGTAGGCTGTTGTATAGCCTGAATGTGTGGGCAAGACCTGATGCTGAGTCCATGGAAGGAAATATTTTGTACAAAGACTAGTGGCAATTTCATGATTAGACATATACAAGTGATTGGGTTGATAGGTAATTTGCATGCAAGACTTGAAACCACATTGATCAAAGTGCTCCAGAATATCTTAACCCAGGCAGTTTTCACCTAGACTTAGTTTTCACCTGACTTCTCTATATAGCTGTATTTGCTGTGTTATTCACTTATTCCAAACAAGTTACTTTCTTAAAGTTTGGCCATTTCTATTGCTGTGGAAGGGACTGAAGTTCTGTTCACAGTGGTTTTGCAGATTAAAAGTCTCTGTATAACAAAAGTTGACTCTATTTTAGCTCAATATGAAACAGTTTTGGTTTTGGATAGAGCAGCCCGGAGGCCTCTTCCCCAGGTCATAAAGACACTTCAGTAACACTCTGACCCTTGTGGTGCTGTACACAGCAAAAGGTGCCTATCTTTGCCTTCAGGGCCAGGGATGGGTGAAAAGCTACTCTGAGGGGATGGGTGCGATCCGTCAAGGTGTCTTGTTCATCGTCACTCAGAGCTCTCGTAGAGGGTACCCAGAATGGACACCAGTTTTAGGGGATGAGTATCAAAACTGCTATACAGGGAAAGGGAGTTACAATTAACTTTTCCAGAGGAAAAAAACCCCACATATTTAAATGGCTGGAGAAGTCTTAAAGAAATCTATAAATGAAATGTTGATCTATTGTGATTACCTATGCTACATTAGTTGTAGGATTAATTAGTTAATTGCAGCAAACATTTATTGACTTACAGAAAGTACAGAAGTATCTGAGGGCAGCATCAGATGTGTGCTGCTTCTGCCATAGTACTATGCTTTGCTGGCATACGCACAGAAGCCATTGTTGTCATTAATATATGGCTATAAAAGGACTAATGACCTGACGATGTCTGGGAGTTCAGCACCTTGGTTTCCTAAAGCAAAGAACGCAGAGCCAAGGACTCCTGAGTTTCAGCTTTTCCAGTTGTCCACTTGCTGCCTTGAGAAATGTCATCTGTGCTCTCTACCTTGTCTCCTGTTGTTGGAAAAGGAGATGTTCTTCCTCCTATCTCACAGGGATGTTGTGGGGAATAACCAGCTAAGGTCTGTGCAACAGGCTTTTTTTTCTTTTCAGCTTGGAGATCACGCTTGACCAAGAGTGTGGAAGCGTACTTAAAGACTTTTGTACGTGCTCGATATTTGAGTTCTGTGTCTTCTTTTATTTGTATCAGTGTTAATGCAAGAGGGCAAAAGTCAATATGATGCTGAAAACTGGGGAAGAAAGGAGAATAGGCTCTCTTCGTATGCAACAGTGATGCAAATACCTGTATGTCACGCTTGATTTTTTTTATCTTCAGGACAATATGTTGTGGTAGAATATTGGTATTGTTGTGAAAATGTCATGTGTTTGCACAAGCTAATTGCAACAAGCTGTGACTCCACTTTTTTAATTGATTTATAAAATAGAATTAGAGATAAAAGCACTCCTAAATGTTTCCTTCTCTGTGGTTGCAACTGTGGTTCATAGGTAATGTATACTCTGAGCAGTAGTTGCAATGATCGGTATTACAGGGATGAAAACTTCTTGTTCCTCTTTGGTGGTTGACTGTATGCATGCAGGTTTATTGGGACATCACTGGGTTCATATCCTGCTTGACAGCACTTCACAAGACAAGGACAGTTAATACTCTTTGTCCTGAAGAAGATGATGATTCTACTATATGATCACATTGGACTTATTTCACTTTACATTTTATTGACTTTTGTCCCTGAAAAAGCAAAAAAATGAAATATTATAAAAAATGTAGTTATATTGTAAGCTCTGCAAACTAAGCGTCAAAGTCCTATGTATTTGCAAAACAATCAATAAAATAAAGATGAAAAATCTCAGGTTTCATCTATTGCTACCATTTTTCATGGTGTTCTGTTCTGCCATTAGAGGCAGTAAAGGATTAGCTTGTATTCACACCAGCTTGTCACACCTCAGCACACACAAAAACCTCAAGGTCTTGGCTGAAGGTGGAGGGATTTGATAAACAGAAGTAATGAAGCTCGAAGCTCATCTACCAGCTAGATTCTCTGTCTTCAGTCTTCTCACTGATGTCTCTGCTGGGTCAATCTCAAACATAAGTACCGCATTTATTTTTGTAATTACTTGTTTTTCAATCAAGTCAAATTATGGACTACATATGTAGTCCTAGGAGGAATGATTTTTTACCTTTTGATTAAAACTGCTGTAGAAATGATAGCATTTGAGATGTTAATCATTGATGTTGGTGTGTGACTGCACTCTGAAAACAGTACCAGGTGACACATAAAGACAGTTTCCATTAACCACCTGATGAATGATAAAGCAGATGATTGCAAAGTGATGAAAATGCTTGTCTGTGGATAGTGGGGTCATCCTTCCATACATGTCATAAGGTCGTGAGAAAATATGTCATAGTGTCATTTTATCTTCAGTATCATCAGAAAGCAGTTTGATAAATGTGAAGGAAAATGTTTAGGCTCAGCAGAAAACCTTGATGATTTGCTCTGAAATGAAACTCTTCAGTAATTTGTACGTGGGGTCAAAACCCAACAGTCTGTCACGGCTGTGAAGGGGGTACAAGGTAAGTGCCAAAACCGCTGAGATAATACACCAGAAAATCCACTCATGCAAATGTAGGAGGTAAAGTTTTCCTCTGATAGGAGCAGAAGGTTGGTTACAGGCATATCTGGGCCGTTTTGTGCCACCTTGTATATCTTCTGTTGTTGCCTGTTTTACAATATGCCATCATGTCTTTGATGTACTGCAGTATTCTGAGCCCCTCTCCTGCCCATATCCATCTGCTGCTATAGTCCCAGTGTCTTAGCTCTGCGTGTACCTGCCCCGCAGTCTGTGTGGCAGTTTTTAACGGAACAACTTCAGGGGACACCTTGGGGAAGGGAGGGGGGAGGAAGAAATTCCTTTCCTGAAAGTATTTACGTGATGTCAGATTTTGAGGTTCCAGCAAAGGT